TGAGCATGGTTCGGATTGGACCGGATTGGGGTAAAACCAAGACCAATCCGTTATTTACGGTTCCTAAAAAATTGGAACCAATCCAATCCGTTTAAATCATGGAACCAATCCGAACAAATCCATTTAAATACGGATTGGATCGGTTTAGGACTACGGATTCACATAATTAAATAACAAAAATATATATATATATAGCACTTTAATTTCATAAAAATATAAATATAGCGCTATATTAATTCTACAATAGCAACATGTCTTTCTATAATAGCGACATACTGTTCTAGTATTTAAACAATCATAAGAAAACTGGTTTCACTATAAGTATTTAGACCATTACAAATTAAAACTAAAAACTAACAAACAAAAATAATAAAAGAAGATATTATGCGGGTTTAGATTTGAGTTTAGGTTTTATACGGAATAAGAGAAGATACTATGGGAGAGGATGTATAATAAAAATATAGGTTATTTGTATATGGTCTGGATCGGTTCTAATCTGGAACCATGGGGTTCAATCCGGAACCAATTCGTGGACTATGGATTTTTAATTCTTCAATCCAAAACCAAACCACGGATTCAAAAAATCAATACGAACCTACTGGATTGGACTGGACTGATTCGGATTACGCATTTCACGGATTCCTTGTTCAGCCCTACTTAATATAAAATATATGTCATAATTTAAAAAATTTAAAAATTATATTTATGATAAAATGTAGGGCAAACTTCACTTTATCCCCTGTGGTTTGGGCCGGGTACGGTTTACCCCCTTGACATTCCGAAATCATCACATAACCCCCACGTGGTTTGTGGATTGAAATGCACACTAACTTATGTTAACAGAAGTTGTAAATTGACAATTATATCCTCCTTATTCTTCTCTCTCTCTCTTCTTTCTCTTCTTCTTCCTCCATACCCATATTTTACATATATATATATATATACACATATCAAACCCATATTTTACTGTCCAAACTTTTTCTTCATCATACCCAGAAGTTGAACCACACGCCATGTATCACACCTCGACATAAAGCTACGATCTCCCATATCCTGGTGACAATGCTGGCTAACTCGAAGACATGGATCCGCTGGCGATGCTCAACGCTTTTGCAACACTTTGATACAAAAGTTGCACACAGAAGTACACAGCCCAAACAATAGCGATAACAAGTAAAAACCACTGCCGATTCCACACCCAAACACATAAACCAAAAATCGACGTTGGACCTAAACCAGCAAAGACTCAGGCTGGTGCCAGAGTAGCTAACAAACTCAAAATCTAAATTATGGTGTGATAAACATCATCAGACCTCTGCAACAACAATAAGGATAGTTGTGAAACCTTTCTTGTTTGAATTCATCTTGTTCCTTCGAAACTAAAAAGCATACACAATACAAGGACTCCAAGAGGGATGGAGCTTATGGCAGCAAATAAACCACCCCATTATTTCATTAAATTACTTGGGTCTTTTTTTTTCTCTTCCCATCCTTTCTTTTTCAAAATTATATTCACACTTCCTGTTATGAGCTTGGTCTTTCATATAAAAACGAAAAAAAACCAAGCCATCTAACCTTTTCACAAAAGAGAAACAAAAAAAACGTAAGAGGAAAAGAAAAAGGAAAAGAAGATGAACAGCAGGGTGGGGAATGTGTACCCCACCCATGAATGCAAGAATAGTTGTAACAAAATATGGTATGATGGTGATGGTGATGGTGTGGTGGTGGCCAATGTGAAGGTACTAATTTGGATGGAATGAAGGGTTATTCTTCCCAAACAAAACAATCACAGTTCGCTAGAATACTTGAATACTTGGAAGATCTATATAAAAAAAAATAGAAAGAAAGAACAAAGAGAGAAAGATTTATGTTAAAAAAAAAAAAATTAGAGAAAGAACAATGGTATAGCGATTCCAGTTTTGACCCAACCTTTATTGTATTCCGGACTCAGGTTTCGTGGTTTAGTGTTGTTGTTCATCTCTTTTCCCCTTGTTTTCCTTTAAGTTTGTCTTTTGGATTGTTGTGGTTGTGCTTGGAACAGGTTGGTTGCTTGATTTCCAAATTCTTGTTGCCCAAATTTTTGCTCCTCCGCTCGAGCGGCACTTCTTGCACTCGAGCGAACTTTACAAACTCTCAATACTTTTGCAGGTCTGTAAAACTACTTGGAGAGTATATTCTACGCTTGAGAGGTTCTTTCTACGCTTGAGCGGCCATTTCTTTCGCTTGAGCGGTTAGTCTGTTTCCTGTAAAACTACTGGATGTGTGTTTTCTACGCTCGAGCGTCACTTCTTGCGCTCGAGCGGTGAGGGTCTTTTTTCATTGTGTCTTGGCGCTCGAGCAGAACAACTCATTGTGTCTGGTACTCGAGCGTCTGTGCATATATCAGTTCGTAGTAGCATCTTTTTACATCTTTTCCCATCAAAACCCTAGATCGGGACCCCCTTTCTCTAAACACTCTCTCTCTTTCTCTACATTTTCACCTAGTTCTAGTGATATCTCTATCCACTTGCCTTTGTTAAAAAGTTAGAGCATCCCAAGGGCTACATTTTGATCCGATTAAAGCTTGGTTTTGGCGTTCTTGAAGTTTCTCCATATCTCCCTTTGGTCTTCTAAGCTTGAAGTAGTGATTTTCTACACCTTCTTATGATTTTTAACTTAGTCATTGGTTGTTGTGTAACAATAGTGGATTTTGGGAGTATTTTGGACAAACCTAGGGTTTGGGATGTAAAATCAGAATAAGGGTTTCTAGTGAATGTGACATAAATGGTCATGGGATTTGAAAATGAGGTTATATTGTGTCACAATTGTTGATTTGACATTTGGGAAAGAGGAAAATTAACCTAAAATGGTTCAAATATCCCTAAAATGGTTCAAATATCTATTTTGTATATAAATAAATGAAATTGGTTTTATAAATATGAAATTGGATGAATGTTGATGTAAATTGTGGAGTTGGATATGCATTACCTCACACTTTTGGAAATTTTGAATAAATTATCGGTCTTGAGATTGAATATCTGTTTAGAAATATCTGTAATTGGGCTATCGGTGGAGGATAACTATGATTGTTGTACAAATTGCATGAGGATTAGGTGAATTAAAACTAATCTTTTGTGGGTTGTCATTGAATATGACTATGTTTTAAATACATTGTATATGTATGATTGGTTGAGAAGAGAAATGAGATGTACTCCATGTTTAAGAGGAGATAGGGGATGGACTCTATTGAATTAAGTTGGCCTGTGTGTCCTGGATAAAAGTCCTGAAACTGCGCGTATACATGGGTGTCGATCCTGCAGATGAAATTTTCGTAAAATAGCAAATTGAAGTGTTTGTGTGATAATTGTGATAATTTAGGAACCACTGAGTTGTATTCTCAGATGGGTTGCTTGAAAGATAATGAAATTGGCTCATGAAGTGAGATGACATGAATTAGTTTGAATTGACGCGAAGAAAAAAGGATTGAGATGTGGATTTTGGTACTTTATGATTATATAGAATATGGATTTATATTAGATATGATAGGGGTGGTGAATATGATGCACCTTTTAATGAATTTTGTGCACAACATGACATTATTCACCAAACTACAGCACCCTATTTTCCGCAGCAAAATGGAATTACTGAAAGGAAGAATAGAACCCTAAAAGAAATGATAAATGTCATGTTACTAAGTTCAGGCTTACTACAGAACTTGTGGGGGGAAGGAATATTGTCTGCTAATTATGTTCTTAACAGAATACCCCACAAGAAAACCAACAGTACTCCTTATGAATTGTGGAAAGGTCGACCGCCTTTCTACAAATACTTAGAAGTGTGGGGGTGTTTGGCAAAAGTTGAAGTTCCTATTCCTAAAAAGACTAAGATTTGACCAAAAACAGTAGATTGTGTGTTTATTGGTTAAGCTCAGAACAATAGTGCATATTGGTTTCTGATTTATAAATCAGAAATACATGATATAAATGTGAACACTATTATAGAGTTTAGGAATGCTGTGTTTTTTGAACATGTCTTTCCTTACAAGAAAGGACAGGAATTAAGTTCACAGGAAAGAACTTATGATTGTACACAAAGTCAAGAGACTAATGACAATCAAACACAAGAGGCTAGTAATGGTCTCGACTAATAGGATTTAACTGATGATGAACCAAGAAGAAGTAAGAGAGTGAGAACTTCAAAATCCTTTGGTCCAGATTTTCTAACATACCTGCTAGAA